AATGTAAATTTACGATTAATTTAACTTGACGATTCAAAATGTACTGGTTACTACTTGAATAAAATATTTTGAGTTTGAGTTTGAGTTTGACTGATTAACCTATACTTGGCCATAAGAATTTAATGATCACGAAACAAATACAGAAATCTGAGGCCAAGACCAAGGGTTGAAGTGCCACTAGTATTTTGTAATGTTTTGCCACTGATCATATAACCGATAGAATTTTTAATATGGGTTAACTACTGTAATATAAATAATGCTTGATACATTTTCATACGAAGACCTCACCACGGATGGCTAAAACTACAAAATTATAATGCGATTCAAGTATTATGAACATATATATAAACCGTTGTTGTACAATCTATAACATAAACTTAAAACATAGATCTTAGCCTGGGAATTCTGCATCTGTAATATTGATCATATTTATTTATAGTCTGTTATGTGCCCGACACACGACGTCGCTTTTTGGTACAGCGAGTCTCTCTCGATGTTTTTCACCCTACGAATAAGTTAATTACGCATAATAAAGAACGTTTGTAAGAAACTGAAATTCGAACCCGGCTTACAGCACAACTGTAGCTCAATAGTGCATAGTACAAATAACAAAACACAATTACGTGTTTTGTGTTAACAAATAAATGCAATAATAACCGTTATCTCGTCGTACAAAGGCACAATTTTAATTTGATATACAGGTTTTTAATCCACGTAACAACAAATCTTACCGGAGTCGGACCTCGAGCTTAACCGACTTGCATAAATATTAGGCTACGTAAATGTATTACCATAATGCAACTTTGTTTCATTTTACATAAACAGAACAAAGGCAATTTTAAAGAAAAGAGTCACGTTTGCGCGGCTTACTTTCAAATCTGCTTCTATGCAACTTTATTAAACTAGTTCTTTTGTATGTTCGTGATTCGGTTTGTTCGTAATGTGTCTTTTACGGAGATACTCGGTTCGATGCAAGGGAATGAATGTTTTGGTTTGGACAGAACAGAACCTATTTGAGAATAAAAGTATGAATTTATGCGATACGTATTAATTCTGTATCCTCTTGAATTGTGTAATGTAAGTTGAATAAAATAATATATTAAGTTATCAGGATACAAATTAAATCACAAATTGTTTTTAAAAGTTTCTAAACACATTAGTTCTATATCACATACTTGTTGGTAAAATTGCGATGCAGAAAATACAAATCCTCCTCGAATAAGAAATGTACCCATCATGTTTCAACGACTGCGACAACTTTCGCTTAACCTGATTGATCAATCTGCGCGCCACTTAGCTACTATACGTAGGTAGGATCCAATCAGAGTCGTGTTTACATCGGAAATGCCAATAACAGAATGCAAATACATAGTGGACAACACGTTCGGGCGTCCGGTGCAGTTGTGAAGTGCTACGAAAAACTTTAATACGTATCGAACTAACACAGAGTCGATTCATGAATTTAGAACGATTAATTAAGGATTTCAATTAAAACGTACGAATTACATGGTTTGATTTTAAAGAGATTTTTTGATACGAAATGTATAGTCGTTTTGAACTTCTTGTATGTTTCGTGTAACACTGGGAAAAACATTGTTGAATAGAGAAATGCTGGACTTCTAATTCTTAACATTTCAAAGCCTATTCTTAATTTACATTATTATGTACATCTCATAACTTTCTTGAGAAGTTTAATAAATAATGTTATTAACATTAATTTTGTTTGAGTGCTAACCTATATTTAACCTTTTAATTATGTATATGTTAATAACTAACGGTCATTATAATACTCAGTTTACGCCTTCATTATTTCAATAATATGTCTTTTCATATGAAAAAAATGCATTGTATATCACTTATAATACTTACTTATAACATAGGATTTTTTTTATAATATGTTAAAAGGTCTCAAGAACCCGCCCTGAGAAAAGCCAAACTTCAATTATTCCAACGTGTTTAGCAAATACTTGGCTTATTTTCATGATTATTAAGCCTTACTAAGTAGTTTCAGTTTTACACATAAATACGTCTTGCAATTCAGATCTGCATACAATATTGTCTAAGTAATTAATTTCGTAATTCTAATTATTAATGCACCCTGAATTTATTTACACATATATAATTATATATTTCTATTTGAGCAGTGTTGTAGCGGCTGCTGCGTGCTACTTTCATCTATGAGGTCTTAGGTTCATTCCGCGGCTGAGCAGAAATTGACTTTCTGTCTTGCGCATGTTAAATGCGCTCGACAGAAAGTTCGCTCGTAGGGTTAATGAAAATATCGTGAGTTATCAAAAAAGAGGCGCAGATCAGGCACTGAAGACGGTTCACCTACTTGAAGCAGATATCTTAGGCCCAGACCCAAAACGTTATATATAGCCCTTGGTTATTATTCAAAATATAGTATAAAAATCTAACACTAAAGAAAGAATAAGAAGGAAATGCTGCCAGCGTCAAAGGTACACAGCCACAGGGACCAAACTTTTTAAAATTGTTTTAATTTTCTGTTTAATAATTTTTATTATTACTTTGTAGGTTAAGAAAATTGTAAATACAAATTATCCGTAAGTAGTATAAATAAAAATAAATTTTATAACACTAAAGTTGTGCAACCTATCAATGAATCAGTTTCAAGTGCTAATCCTTTAAAACAGTCGAAACAGTGACAGCACTCTGGATAAATTAATGTTTTATCTCGATCTATTCTCGTTCGCACAGTAGAAGTGCAGGTACGTTTCCATTTGCATGTATGGTACGCTATGACGATAGTAACAACATTACCCGAATTCGAAACTGTGATTAGGTGCATCGAACCACAGCTGCTGTGTTCAACGCTATTTACATACCTATCTACCTCTCATTACTTCATTCACAATTAGTTTGGGAGTATATTTCGAAGCGGAAAATTTTGCGTTTAAACGATGAAGCAATTTTGTTTTATGGTGATATTAGTCGCACGATTATTAGTATAGATGAAACTAGTTTGAAATATTGTGAATAAAATCATTAACCCGGGTCGTGAAGCAGATTAATATTTTGACTCTTCATTCTATTCGAAACAATGTTAGTTTTACCGGAAATTCTACACGAAACATCCGGCTGTGCACTGTACAATACCAAGTGCAGTATGGAATAGTTAAAATAAATTATAAGTATAATTAACATAATTAATTCAAACTAACATTAGAAATACACTGCGTTTTTTTAGGTGAGAAATATACACCAATTTGGATAATGTCAGAAAAAGAGGTCACCATTAAAAATATTTACCCAATAAAATATAAATATGAAAGATTGTTATTATGAAAAACAAAAATAATATTATCTATATTCAGCGGTAACATAATCCATCAATGCGGGTAAAATTGTTTTTTTTAATACTTCGACAAAGCATTCAATCATCGACACGTGAACAACGCAACAATTTTACGGGTATATTTTTTGCTTATAACCTGATACAGACAATAATGTTAATATTGAAATTGGTGATTCCTCAAATGAATAAACTGAAAATAGACCGATATCCGCGGCTTTGAATGTATAAAATAAAAATTTATTTAAGATTTAAGCTATACATTTAAGAAAATACATGTAAAGGACATTAAAAAAGTTATTTAAAATTTGGGATAGCTTTAGAAAATATTCACATTATAGAGTTTACGTATGCCGTGCTTACGCACATACGTTTGGAGATTGTATTAACTTCCAAATGTAATTCTAAATTTTAAAAAATATAGATTCAAAAAAACAAAATGGGTTTGGACTATACAAAAATAGCAAGCAGTGGCTCACTTGTGTCTGACGACCCTTATAATAGCCCAACATAACGATACATCAAACATTCCGCTGAAATTCAATAAACCGAACATCACTATGAGTAGATCTTTCGCAAACTGATAGTAAACAGGGCAAGCGCGGGACGAATACAAACATCCAATTCAAATGCAAGACACGTGTCGAAGATGATACGTGATAACACGAAAATCTCCCAATTGCTTACGTGTTTGAGATGTTGGGCCCAACAGTGTTTCCCGACTAACCGAGCATTGAATAGCTCCATATAAATTACCCTTACAGATCAAACGATAAGCTTTTTGCGTACAGGTGAGCTGATTTCATCGACGGATGAATTGATTCACGTTTTGAATATAACGATTAATTTAATCTTTCACTTTGATAAATATGAAGCTCAGACAGTTTCCGATATTAGATTTTTATCAAGAAAAATCCAATTGAGTTTATACTGTTGTAGCCATTACATTATTTCGGCCATAATTAATACATATAATGGATTACTTAACTACACTATTTTAATAATCAGTTCGGCACCAGTCGTTTGTGTGTATTTAAACAAAATGTAATATAAAATTAATTAGACATAACACATCTTACCCAAAATAATATATTCAAGCAAGAATAAAAGGTTAATAGAACCTTCAATGTTAAAGATAATGCATTGATAAGCCCCAAATAACAATATCTACATAGTATTGTCTTTTATTGACATAACCTTTACACATTTAAAGAAAAAACTTTTTATGGAATAGTTTTTTTTTTTTTTTAATTTTTAATTTTTTTTCCCATTTTTTTTTTTTTTACCGGGGGTGGGGGTTTTTTGGGGGGGGGGGGGGGGGGGGGGTTTTTTTTTTTTTTTAAAAAAAAAAAAACCCCCCAAAAAGGGGGGAGGGGGCCGCCTTTTTTTTTCCCCCCCCCCCCCTTTTTTTTTCCCCCCCCCCCGGGGGAAAAAAAAAAATTATTTTTTTTTTTCTCCTCTGGGTGTTTTTTTTTTTCCCCCCCCCCCCTTCCTCCCCCCCCCCCCCCCCCCCCCCCGCCGCGGGGGGGGGGCTTTTTTTTTTTTTTTTTTTTTTTTTTTTTTTTTTTTTTTTTTTTTTTTTTTTTTTTTTTTTTTTTTTTTTTTTTTTTCTTTAAACAATTTCTACAATTAAAATAACTTGAGGTGCTAATTAACGCGCTCCTTAATCTAACATGTATTGACTTACAATGCACGTGGAGCATAATCCTCTTGCTGACGGATGGTGGTACGCCGTTTGCCGCGATGCATAAATACGCCCCCATTTCGGAGCGAGTCACTTTCGTCAGGTTCACTATCTCGCCCTCCAGTGACGACACTGTGAAAATATCAATTTTAAATTCTATATCCAAAACCCATAAACTGTGATAGATGCTGATGAGCGGCTAATCAAACGATTCATCAATATCTTCTGTTGTGAATTGCGTTTTAAAATAGTTCGTTACACATAATATTCTATCATTTAAAATATATCTGACTGATTTAATATCTAGTACATATATATGTATATTTAAATGGAAAATTAATTTAATGTATATAAAGTCAATAAATAGGTTTTATTTAAATAAAAATATTAGTAATACAATTTTATAAATCGAGATTGATTTTCAAGGGATTACTAAAACATCTTTGTAAAGGCCTACGGTAATCGTGGCTCTGGTTAATAACTACATACAGATAAGCTTTCGAAATTATAATGTCTATATTCAAATGCATTATTGAATTTTAAATGAAATGAATTGCAAAACTAAAAACTTTCTTTCTATATTATAGAGTAAAAAATAATTTTAAACAATATCAAAATTTTCACCCCCGTTTGTATAAATATTTGTACTCTATAAAGAGTAGTGCTTATTTTACATTTCTCCCAAGAGCCTACAAAAACACTTGGAAACGCCAGTAGACATTCTATAAACAAATGCGGTTAGCGGTCCCAACTTGAACTGTTTTCCTGACACCTTGCTACCGAGTACATTTACAACCATTAATTCAAACAAGAGGATAAAAAGCTGGGACAATATTTTCGAAGGGAGTTGATGGTTTAAAGTGTAGAGCTTTTGGTAGTCGACGTCGCTTCGTTAGCAAACAACTTGAACAGCGACCTACTGTGGAGTGTCTACTTAATTGAAATAATTATAAAACTTTTGCATTCACTTCAAGTGTTCGGAAGTTATGGACAGTTGTCAGATTAATTATTTAAGTAGCTTAACCTAATTTAAATAAATTGCTTAACAAGATAATTGCTATTTTCACACATTTAAAATTGTTATATATAGTTTTCGGCAAGTCGTGCTATAATTATCTATAAATAATAAAAATAGTAAAATATGATTCGGCTCTTATGTTTTTATGTTCTGTTACATCTTGGCCCTGTCGATGTGTCATAAGTTAAGTGACACTCAGTTGTAGTGCTTTCTTAGGGAAGTTCAATAAACCGACAGCAAACGCTGTAATTATAAATTTTTCGTGATTCTGACAAATTTTTAAGGACGCCTTGAAAATAATATTTGATATTAACATTTATTTGCAAAGAAAGTAGAACATTTAGATTGATTAATTATGACAAAGAAACGCACATTCAGCCACTTTAAAATATGCATGCTAATATCATATTAATAGTTATAATGACATAATAATAAAAACAGTTAAAGTATTAGGGAAGATCGTTACCCCTTCTACGGGCACATTCATACAGTCAAAATAAAATTTGAAGAAACAAAGTACAGTCTTGTTTTTGTATGTGCGCATGAGTCGAGGTACCAACTATACATCAACGAAGTTTCGTGAAATTCGCACCGATGAGAGTGAGTCAGGCATGGACGTGTCTTCGCGCTCGGAGTAATTTTTGATCAATGTTTTTGTCTCTTTTACCGTAGATAAAATAAGTTTTCTGTGTAGAGTATTCTATCAGTAACTAGAAAAATATACTTAAGATACGTCTCAATACTTTATTTATGACGTTTTTCTATTAATATCAAAATAAGTTATATTTTGTTGTTATTCAGTTGAAGTGGGGTACTTTCCGGACAGCACTAGATGGGGCACATTTGAACAAATTGTACATTCACTAAATTTGTATGAAAATATTTTGTCGACACGAACTGTCATTTTCCATACAAATTAAGTTTCCCGACTCGCCTACATACACTACTGTTAAGGCATCTAGACTAAACCCCTCTGGTAGGTAGGAAAGATTGTGTTAGTGTGCTAATTGCAATATTTGCATTAATTTGTCCTGTGTTGCTATCATTGCTATCGTCGATGTAAATATATATTAATATCTATTTTTATTATTCTATTAATATTGATTTTGATGCTTGTGAACCAATCTTTGAATAATTTACCAAACCATCCAATAGTAGTTTCTTCGAAGTCAGTTTGACACCAGAGCCTTTCGACCCTTTCCATGTTGTAAATATAAAACAACAATACACACGCCGGAAAACACAATTTATACTGCCCCACCCGAAAATAAAGTGCTAATCCGCACAAAGATTAAAAAATGTGATTCTAAATTTAAGATACCTAACTAATTAAATTTTGTTTTATTTAAGAAAAGCTATTAATTTTTGTTCACTATAAGAAAAGTATTTTATTTTTGTTTAATAGAAGTTAAATCTTTATTTTTGTGTTTAATTTCATTGCTAATAAATGAATTTTGATTTATATGTTCGTTTTAATCGCACGTACGGAACTACCCCAGGCCCCAACACTTACGAAGGTGCCCCCGTTGATGGAGCAGATTCGTACGTATTCCAGATTTTGTTTAAATCATAATTATGATTGAAACATTAGATGAAATCATTTGTCATTTTTTAATATGAATCTCAGATAGTTAGACTATAAATTTAAGCTATCAGATGATTGATTCATGGAAAAAGAAAAATAAAAAAATAAAATGTGAAACCTCGAAGGGTCCCGACCTTCCCTCCCTATCTCGTATATTTTGACCACAGTTATCTGTTGTCAAAATTTTAAAAATCTGATTGTGATTAAATAGTATAATAAATGCGATTGTATTATATTATTATATTATATGTACTCTATAGAGAAATATGAGTATAAGTTTAGTTTTGAATGAATATATTTAACAAAAATTTGTGAAAGCGTCAATGTCAGAGTAAGAGTGACTTTTAATGTAATAATCAAATTCTTTCAGGCACTGGCAAGCTACATACCATATAAAGATACCTAACAAGACAGTACATTGAGGTAATATTACAATAGTAGTTCAATCGTGACGTGGTGATCTTCATAGAAAAGCTCGGATCACTTTATTAAACAATGTCTAGTTAAACGGCGAGGAAACTTCAAGCTCAAAGCCGATGCTCAAAGATGATGTGGCCGTGGAGCTTTTTACTATATAATTAACGAAGGTACCCTCTGGCAGTGAAATCTAATATATTGTAAGCCATCATGTTAATTTGTATAAGCTATTCATATCTGTTTCAAACTTTCAGTTGATGAAAAGCGTCAAATAGAAGGATGGTTGAGTTAATTTGCACCAGTCTGAGCAAGTTTCCTTCATTCACTCGCTTATCTACATAATTTACTCTAGAACATGAAACAAATAGGCGAGCGACACGCTTTTGTCATCGGAATATGTTTTATATGGCACGTTAAGGGACAAATCCAGTAAATAATCCTTTGTTGTAGCACTTTATTATTCATTCCGTTATCATTATTGTTGTCATATGTATTTCAGAAAGTTATTAGACCTCGGATAATTTAAGTTTGGAATAAAAGTTTTTTGTATTTATTATTGAACGTAAAATTTTGTTACGTTATGAAATGTTTTTGTATGTATATAGTAATAAAGGTAAGTAAAGAAATACTTCAACTCCGTAAGGTTAAACGTACTTCCCTCAACTCTGAGGTTATGAGATCGAACTCTGGCTGTACACCAATGGCTCTGTCTTCACCAAGTGAAGAAACTGGCTTTCATACAAAAAGTGACGACGTGTTTAAATTTAGTTCTATTCAGACTGGCTTATATAGAAAACACATAATTGGTTACATGTAATATCATATTTTAGTCCTCAATAAGAACAAAATTTTCGACAAAAACTTTTCCCATTTAAATATTTGACATTTTCGTAATATTGTTTTCGTACAGATTTATTGAGGTAACTTGTAACGACTACTTTAATTACTTTCCACTCAAATTAATGATTGTTTTTGACAATTAAAAAGTGGTTGGAACGATGCATAGGGTAATTGAAGCATTTGCTTTAAAACTAATATCCTATTTTAGAAGAGAAATTAGAACGATTTAATCTTAAAGGCTGTGTAGTCTGTGAAAGTCATTACTGGTAGTACTTTGTTAACTTAATGAATTGACTGATGGCAGTGCTCGAGCAGTGGTGGGGTTAAGTAGGACCTGCCAATTAATCACCCTGTCAGTACAGTTTCCAATTGCTACTCGTCACGAATCCCCTTATAACTATTATTTATGTTACTCAATGCTATTGATTCCTTTCGAACAATTACTAACCCTTGGAAGATCATTCTAGTTAAAGTGGAAAGCAATATTTTATAGTTTTACTTCGACTTGACCATAACATCATAACTCAATTATTATAAATACAAAATACTTTTCCTGCACTGGTTTTTAATTAATGCATAAGTTCTACAAATATCAAAGCCATTATAATTATTAATTTTATATTTATATGCCACGCGTTATTAAGCCAGCCTCCGAGAGTAATATTCCTAAATACTACAAATAATTATTCATCTACCTATAATTGTGTGTTGACAGGTGTCGTTCTATTTCATAAAATTTTTGTTTACTACTATGCTTAAACAGCCTTACGTGGAACGAATAAAGTTTGTAAATTTCATGGCCAATTCATTAATTCAAGGCCCGACATTTTTAGTGGTTCTGTGGTTACAGGTATAACTAATCTGTGGTTTATAAATTTATGTATCTACAACTCTTTGTATTACTCAGCTAGAATAACAATAATTTAGTCCATATGATCGATAGATAACAAGAAGCTAAATTGATAAACAATAGTTTAATTCAAATGATGTATAGTCTCATCATTCGATATTTGAAAACATTAAACCTCGCAATGAATTGTGTTACTAAAATTTATGACCGTACAGTCGATATCTGACGTTTATGCATGATTAATATTTTAAAGTCATTTTGGCTCATTGAAACATGTTAATTATAGTGTATAAAATGTATACCGTAATTTATCTGAATAATTAAAATTTTCAAACTTTTGAAACATTAATATGATATGTGAAATAATGCTGTTTTTAATTATTTGTGAAAAATGACTTTTAAACGGGTAAATTATATTTTTTAATCAGATTACTTTTTAACTAGTAAATAAAAATATACTAAAGGGAAACCAACAATGAATTTTTCAAACAAAACATATTTTATTTCTAGTAGCGCTACAAACATTGTAATGTTGTTGAATTTTGGGTCTTTGGACATGCCGATTTACTGACCATGCTTTTTTCGCCCTTAGGAAGTCAGATTAACCGAGGTCCAGGAACCTCACAGTTGTAAGCTCGCTTTAGCAGTAAGCTAAAACTTTTACTAGCCTGTCTTCATCGGGTTCAAAGACGCAATATTCAATACAGAATCATTATTTAACTCAGCGATCTTAACCCGTCTGAATCTTTATTTGGCCGAATAGAGATGAGTAGGTAAGTAATTATTCCCGGGCGGTCTCGAGATTGTAATCCCGTGGGATTAGAAAGGGCGGTGAGAATGGTAATAGGAGCTCTGAGGCACTGCGGTCTGATTTACTGCTAAGATTCAATAGTGAATATTTTAAGCGCTGATTTATTTGCCGACGTTTCTTAAACTTCTACGCTGTCTATCGGCACTAACTCTATGATTTATTGTACTCGGGTATGCAATTGTGTATTCGTGTGGAAATTGCAGTTATTTATTGCATCAACACTGTAGTGTTACAGCGATACGTCATTGAATCATATCATAAGAAGGAATAATTAAAATAAAATATATAGTTATGTGAATGTGGCATAAATTTATTTTATTTATTCTATTTTCTGCGGTGCTGATCTGTAGCAAGTCACACCCCTAGTTTAAACGATCTTGGAATCCTGATTTAAAGGTGGCCTTGCGTCGAAAGCGACAGTGCTCTAAAGTTTAAAGCGTGGGCGAAAGCGCCGACATCTCGTGGTGCCAATGCCAGCGAACTTAACTTTTCCGGTACCTGTACTCGCTCAGCGCTGTTCCATAGTGCTGGAAGACCGCTTCAATACACTCGAATCTCAGATCCATCCAACTATCACCCAATAACTATAACCACCTTGTTCTCCAAAATAATGGAAACCACTATTAACAGCCAGCTCCTGCGATATCTAGAGGGGAAGAAGCTTACTCAGCAATGCACGACGGTATTTCACTCCGGGCTATCACTTGCAACTGTACTAAGCGTAAATTAGGCCCCTCATGGAGTTGTAGCCTGTGGGCGGGAGCTCCCCATTACCAGCTTCTTCCACTTGACCGTATTCAACGAAGAGTGCTTCGAATCGTCAACGACCCATCTATTTCCGAGCGGCTTGTTCTCTAGGCGTTGCGTGTGGGGTCTCTCTGTACTTACCTTCGAGAGTGTTCAGAGGAGTTGTTCGGATTAATACCTGCAGCGGAGTTTCATCATCGGACGTCGAGGCGGAATACGATATTCTATTCTACCCGTATAACCTCGACGTCCGTCGTTCCACCACTGAGCATTATTTTAGGCAGTTTGAGGCACGCACCACCACTATATGGAAACAGCTGGTTAGCTGGGTAGCACTGAAGTATTTCCGAACCGATTCAACTTATAGTCCTGCACGAAAAGAGCGTACCAACTCCTAAAAGGCCGGCTACGCACTCGCGAGCCCTGTGTCATTGAGATTGTCCACTGTCGTTAGAAAATTAGGCTAAGTTAAAATTTAATTCAAAAAATTATTCGTTAAGCCTCTTTATAAATTTCGTTGGTCTCCAATACATAAGGACAACTAATATTTTCTATTATGTGACTAATTCAATTAAGTGTACCAATAATACGACCTCAGCACGCAAACGTTCAGTCATAAAATTTGCATGATATCCCAGACCTATAAATTTTGCGTTATTTCATGATTTATTTGAAAATGACTACATTAGTTCCGTTCTGCATTAACCAGTGCTATCTTTTGGTAAGGAAATATTGTAGGTTCTAGTAAAGCTGTTGTTTGAATTTTAAATTTTTGTATAAAAATATTTTATCGAGAAATCTGAACCAGTATTCTCGATAAAATTCAATGGCTTTTTATAGGGCACTCGAACAAAGTTGTATTGAACTTGTAATATTTTTGTTTTATCGAAAATTTAAATTGGCGATTTAAAAGAGTGGCGCGGGGTTACTGCCCGATCTTATCCATTTTACGCTATTCATTCCAGAGGCCACTGCCTTTGATCAATATAAATGATCAGTGGATCTAAATTTAGAATCATTTAATGAATAAATTAGAGGCTTATAACAGCCTTGTTAAGATTCTAAAATCATCTTTATCTTACGGGCTTTAGTATGGGATGCTACCTGTGTAGACACCTTTGCCCCGTCTCATCTCCTTCGGACAAGCAAAAAAGCTGGCGCGGCCGCAGAACAGGCAGAAATTAACAAACGGCAAGAGTCTTTCCTCCAACTTCAATTTTGTTCCCTTTGGAGTAGAAACTCTTGGGCCGTGGGGTTCAAGTGCACAGGCGCTTATTAAAGATTTAAGTTGGCGCCTGGTAGATAGTACCGGTGACCACAGAGCTGGCACTTTCCTGGCTCAAAGAATAAGTCTCGCAATACAGCGAGGAAATGCTGCCAGCGTTAAAGGTACACTGCCACAGGGACCAAACTTTTTAAATTTGTTTTGATTTTCTTCTTTCTTCTTTAATTATTTTTATTATTACTTTATAGGTTAAGAAAATTGTAAATATACATAAAATAAGCCTTTATATTTCTATCATAAAACTTCATGCTACTTTAAATTATATATTAGTAAAATATATTCACAATTATTTAGATCAACAAATAATAAATCTTAAGTTCGATACTGTAACAATAAGGTTAATGCAACAATTTTTATTTATATATAACTGTATTTAGTTATGATTTTTCATTTACGTAGTAGCTTAGACCTTCTTAGGTATATTATTTAAAACATAAAATTATTAATGAATACACAATCCTTTGAATGAAACTTTATTAACAAAACTGCTTTAACTTTTTCTACGTTTTAGTGTTTACCCTTTTCTACTAAGTCCTATATCATGAAATGATAATTTTACAACGTTTTCATATTACTATCTAGGCTTTGGCTGACCAACCGACCATTATACAGTATCGCTTATCGATAGTAGTTTGCATTAATTGTTTATTAAACCGGTTCAACGTAATTTTATTATAGAATCTAATCAATGCCCGTGATTATGACGTCATTCGTATTTTTATGTGAATCACTAATACTCTTATAAGAATGATTACGCCATTTGATTACTGTTTGTGACAAAAGTTTTTTTAACTTGATATATATGTATTGTATTCAACCTTAAAATCGTACGATAGACTCCAACTATTTTATGATGATTTTTTTATTTCCAATTAAAACTTGTTCGGTGAAGAAATAATTTCAAGAAAGGTGACGTGTCTTGGCCCATCAAAACGACGACTCGACGTGCGTCTTTGTAACAGCTCGTTTTTTTATTATTTGGCAGGCGTAACTACTCGTATATTATTACATGACAAATAAATAAACATATAAACAAGGCTGGCTACCTTGGCTATAAAAGTGACAATTGAAAGCAGAAAATTAATAACCCAGGCTTCATAGGCCTGGATTATTAATTCTTTAATTAACATATTAACCATATTTATTTCGCTTTGCAATCCTTCTCTCTACAAAAAAATTTTGATATGATTATAACACCTTATTGAAGATACCAATACTATTATAATTTAACAAGCATATTGTTCATATGTACAATCGTAATTCCAATCAACGTAGAAATGTTGTCAATAATAGACACTGTTCAACAAATAGATACAGTTTATCAAAGACGGAATAGTCAAATTTCTTATAATTAAATTAAATAAGATTGTAGCAATATCATTAATTCATACTTTGTAATTAAATTAATCAATTCATATTAATCATAAATATCTGTACCAATGCAAAAAGACTTTATAATCGATTAATTTTTACAAATAGTAAAAAAACTTGCCTTTTGTTTTCCCCTGTGGTCCGCCTCTAGAAATGAGGTCCCCTCCATCTTCTCTTCGCCAGACGATTCTTGGTGGAGGGTAACCCCTTGCCTTACACACTAACTTAGCTGCACCGCCTTCTGGTACCATCATATCGCCGGATGTCTCTTCATACACGATGTCAGGGGGTATTACAACTTCAAGAAATGCTGTCTGTAGGAAAATGTTTGCGTTAAGTTACTATTGTGAAGTTTTGTGCATTTGTTACCTAAGTGTTTTGCAAAAATTAAAACAAACATTATTTTACTGTTTTCCAACAATAAAAAATAATAATTTTGAAGTTATACTTGTTTTGGCGCGTCAGGCAAAAATGATGAGTTAGGACTCCTAACTAGGACTAGGATGCGATACGATTTAGGACTCCCACACAAAACTGCGATGCGAATTTCTGCGATACGATTTAGTGCGGCAAACCGTTTGGTAGGGCGACCATTCCTTCGTAGTCAGCCGTACTGGACGTGCTATTAGGAAGCGTAAGATGGATCGCAAAAAGATTACTGCACTGCTGTTATTGTTAAATAGATATAAAAGAAAAAGAAGATTCTGGGTTCATCCATTCATCCATCCATTCATAATGTTCATCACTTGTGTCCCAAAAGACGGGACGCTCCTCAATTAAAAATATTAAAAAATCCATATCATATTCCGCAATTTTTTATAAACAAAGAAGGCGGCGGAGGCGCCGCGCGTCTTTCTCTAAAGCTGTCTCAGAGCGGACTAAAATGGCGTCACCAAGGATGACGTAATATCGCAAGAATGTGCGATGCGAAGCAGATCGGAACTTCTTACGGTGCGTTCGTGTGAATTCGCAGATATTTGCGATGCGATGCGAATTCGCAGTTTTGTGTGGGAGCCCTTACTCTCATGTGTGTCAATCTCAACATTTTTTCTATTGTCAGTGTCGTTTATTCTACAAACGTAGAATAAGGCGAAAAATAAAATTTTTGAAATGATTTTTATCTTGTTACGCCAAAGAAGTATAACTTCTAACGCGTGTACATAAATAGGTACACACACTTTTTTTAATTTTATTTTGTAAGTAGAATGTTATTATTTATATCCCGAAGAAATATGTTGTTGAAGGTTTAGGTAATTATCTTAAACGGCATGAAAGCTTATTTATTGAGAATCTATTTTAATTTCTTAAGAGCTAATGATTTTTCCGTAGAAATAGAAAGGCTGTTTGGAGCCAATAAAAGCAAAAAAAAGAAAAACCATTAAATTATATATACCTGCATTTTCATAGGATCTGTGTTAACTTGGCACATATATTGTCCTCTGTCTTCTCTCTTTACGCCACGAATGCTCAGCGTCCACGTATTGTAGTCGTTATGGGTGACGCTTAGCCGCGCGTTGTTAGTGATCACGTGCTCGTGTATCGCTAGAATTGCCTTTGTATCCGCCTTGATCCACGCTACCTGTCTCGGGAAATGTATCCAACAATCCTTCATATACATAAACTTTCTAAACAAAGCACTCAGACGAAAACTTTGGATTGAAGGGATTCGAACGGGTGAAAAGTTTGCATAATCGATTATGCGGTCTTAAGGAATAAAGACTGAGAAATCTAGTCTAATTACAAGCGAATACTTCGCAAGAGGCTTGACAACGATCCTTGAGCGAGCAACACTATCTTGTTGCGAAAACCTCGCAAAATGCTCATGGAATTTTTAATTACATTTTCGTTTGTTGGCCGCACAAGGCACATTGAAAACGCCCGTTTCGTCCATTCCACCAAAAGCGTCGACATTGCAATAGAACCTTATTTCCTGCGTCTAGTTAAAAACGACTGCCTCAAAATATGACACGGAATAAAGTTGGACAATTTTTAATAAATTTTGTAAACATTAAGGCTTCATAGTACTTGATAATAAACGTTTCTAAAATATTTATTGTAATATGACAATATAGTTTCTAGGAAGTGCTAAGTGCTCTACAGAAAGTTAGTGCTTTATTATAGAAGTGAATATACTACAAGTGTTGTTATTTTTCAACTTGAAACAACCGGTGCAACTCTAAATTGTGCTCTAGGTTACGTATATTTACTACAAGAATGGATTTTAAACAAATATTTTGTGCAGAATATCCTCAACTTTTCAAATCTTTCAATACGAACTAGCAAATTAATGCAACATTGTAGATTTCAAAAATTGAGTGCATACAATATAAATCCAGCATTTTTTAAAAGCCACTAATATAGATTTTCACTTCATAGTTTTTTTTTCAAATTAAATATTTGATAGTGAATATTTCTGGATTTATATTTTTATAGTAACATAAAAATTAGTATATACATATCTTTACCCTTATAACTCATCCATACCAGCGGTGCATATCGGAGTTGTCATGTTAGATCCAGGAAAATTATTAATTTGTGTAACTGCTTTTTTCTATTTGAATCTGATTTATGTTCGTGTTAATCTGATGCATTTAACGTGTATCAACAGATATTCGTAGCTTAAAGTTTACTACATTTTGAAAATATGTTCATGAATTTTAAAACTAATGCAAAACATTCGAGATTTACGCAGACACTCTAATTTGTTTTAAAACTAAAAAAAATACTATATTTTTTTGATGTTAAATTTGATATGTATTTTTTTAAATTATTTGTTTGTCGTAACTGATTCATCAATGAAAATAATTTGGAAGTTGTTGTGTAACAATTTGATGGTGTGGCGAATTTTTGAATATTCCATCCCTAAAGGTTTACCGAACTTTATCTTTTTATTTTAACTTTGTGGCTACAGATGTACACGTATTAGCGGTAAAAAACTATTAATATAAAGACTATTCTAATACATAACGAATGTTCCGATAATAGTAAAGCAGATGGAGATTAGCTTTGGGGACAGAGAGCTTACCTCTCGAAATGATTGAACAGGGACCATGGGGACTGTCCTAGCTTTATTTTAATGTCGTTAAGTGACTGTTTTGCAAGACCACACTTAAATGGAATAACCTCGTGGAGGATTTGTTAAATCCATTAAAAGATAACGTAAATGTTTATGAAAATTACGAAATTGAATATTCATTAAATTATATTTAAATATTTGTTTTTAGGTTATTTTTAGCAGTTATTTTAAATGGGAGAAAGGAGTTATTCAAATAGAAACTCGTATAGTGCGTTTTAAAATTTTTCTTGACTGGACGGAAAGTGATAAAATTAAAAATGTATAACAAATATGTGTATTAATAATAAAAAATAGATAAAATATGATTTATGTATATATCTTACAATAATTCTTTATCAATTTTAGTTTCGTAATATTATACTGAAAAATCATTATTTCATCAACAGTGTACTAATTTTGATTAGGATAGTGCTGGTGCTGTAGAATGCATGCTCCTAAGTATTATGTTATTCCATACTAAACTCAAGAAATAGTATTTATCTTCACAAAACTGTACACATTACTACTGCATAGTAATATTACATTTTCGTTAATAAAAACGTCTTGTATACATTCTTCTCTTATTCAAGAAATTATACGCATTTTACAGGAACTAAAAGTTTCTGATATTTAAACTAAACTTACGAAAGAAAATAAAATTAGAAATAATTAACGTATATGATACCTATGCAGCAATAATGAGAAGTACGTGAAATTCGAAATAGAAATATACGAGAATTCTTGAGTTTAAGTTAATTCTGTGCAAGTGTGTGCAAGTTGAGTACTAACTATGCTAAAATTGTGAAGAAACTGTGCAAAGTGTCATACTCTATACTATAGACAGTTCCTAAGTGAGTGAAGAAGTGCATCGGAACTTGTGTGCTAAAGGTGTGCAAGAAGTGTTGAAGTAAGTGCAGACTATTAGTGAGATCTATTATTGGGACGAATTCATATAGAACTGAATTTGTGATATTCAAAGAGAAACGGGAATAAGAATTAACAAAGACAAATATCGATCCATGCGTAATTTATATATTTTATCGATGTGATTGCATTACATTTCCCCAATTATTAACTTTCAATCACTTTAAAAATACTACTTTAATAAAACGCTATCTCTTTTTATTATAATCGAAACACACTTTGAGAGACAGGGATAAATGAGTATATTAGTTAAATGAGTGTAATATGACTGACTTTGTTTTGATGAATTAATGAATTAGACTTTATAAAGTCTAAATTAAAGGTATTGTTTAGTTTACCGTTTTAAAACTATTAATTTTATGAAACTACTTAGATTTATTATGTTAATGTGTTGTTTTATTATTTGTTTATCTAACTGGATATAAACAGTCATAATATTATTTATTGGTTAAAAAAATCATGTTTCACAATAATAGATCTCATCAAGTGCTGTGCTCCTCTAGTCGGCTAGTTGTATTGAGTTAGTTTGATACACACCCTGGCAGTGGCGGAGTCGCCACTCACCCTATAACCACCTAGATTATTGACCACACAGGTGAATGTCGCGTCTCTTCCTTGTGCGATGGTAACATTCTCCAGAGGAAACTTGAAATCCGGTTCGAGACCCAGAGCTGAAAACAAATATTGCAATTAAAAATTATTATTTTTTTCGAGGAGTAAATATTTTTAATTGAAATATCAATAGATGAACATATAAAATACACTATAAATGAACATTGAAATATAGTATGTTCCGCGTACGTACATCCTTTACAAAATATTTGCCCAATATTACATTTCTCGGAACGGAGCAACATTCTAATGCGAATTTTTAGTATGTCAAGTTTATCTTGGCGAGAGCTTTGTATTGCCCGATCGCTGGAGGCGTCAATATTCTACGTGACCAGGCTCAAGGAAACACGTGTCGGAAGTAAGGACTATCTATTTGCCCATAGAAAGTCGTCTCACTGTCCATTTGTATATCGAAGCGATTGCATCTTTATTCAGAAATGTTCATTTCTACGACTCATCTAATCTTACAAATATAAAAATATGCGTAAAATATTCTATTATATACCATTTTACATAAACTAAATCTTATATCTAATATATAAAATTCTCGTGTCCGCGGTGTTTGTAGTTAAACTCCTCCGGCTTGACCGATTCTCATGAAATTTTGTGTGCATATGGGGTATGTCTGAGAATCGGACATCCATTTTGTCACCCCCTAAATGTTAAGGGTAGTCCAACCCTAAATTATTATTTTTTTATATTTAGATTAAAAAAAAAAATCATGGTACATGATACAAAAAATACATACAACCCCTAATTTTCACCCCTCTACGATCAACCCCTATTTTTTATTATAAATGATATATATGGCAAAACGACGTTTGCCCGGTCAGCTAGTCTAATATATAAAATTCTCGTGTCGCGGTGTTTGTTGTTAAACTCCTCCGAAACGGCTTGACCGATTTTCATGAATTTTTGTGTGCATATTGGGTATGTCTGAGAATCGGACATCATCTATTTTTCATCCCCCTAAATGTAAAGGGTAGTCCACCCCTAAATTTTATTTTTTAATTTTTTTATGATACAACATTAAAAAATACATACATCCCTAATTTTCACCCCTCTACGATCAACCCCTATTTTTTATTATAAATGATATACATGGCAAAATGACGTCTGCCGGATCAGCTAGTAATTTATAAGTATTGCCCTTATTATGATAAATTGTATACTTTGACGTCATTATGCTTTTAAAGAAAAAACATTTTAACCGGATTAAAGTTATGTTTTATTATAAATTTACAATTATTTAACATAATTTTAAATTTAGTCACAGTGACCACGCACGCTGTAAAGCACGCGAAACGTCGGATAAATTTAAAATTATGTTAAATAATTGTAAATTTATAATAATACATAACTTTAATCCGGTTAAAAGTTTTTTCTTTAAATGTGTAAAGGTTATGGTTATCAAAGACAATACCATGTCATTATGCTTTTTAAACAAATCCAGTTTCTAACGCAACGAAAGCAACCAAAATGTTAAATGAAACAAAAGTAAATGAAAGTTAGTTTAGTAATAAAACTTTTCGTTACCGGAATATAGATTGTAGCAATGACATAGGATCAAAGATTTTGTAGCACAGTGTAGGAAACATTTTCATACAACCCTTTAAATCACCGAGAAATGCAACATGTTAAGAGTGACGAATAAAATTTTTGGTATGGAATTTTAGAACCATAAATTTAATTGACTGGCGGAATATAGAGGCCCGATAAAATTGTAGTGTATCAAAGCGAGCCAATAGCGCCGTATTTGTGAGAACGTGTGGACAACGCAAATGGGTCAATTGAAACACCAGTGCAAATGTCGCCACGTTTAAATGCCAACGTTTATTACGTGTTCTATGCATATACCTTGTACATAGGAGGAAACTGCCTATTTCTAGAGAAATGCCACTTTAAAATATTGAATCCAATTTTAATAACAATAAATATTTATTTTAAATCTTATATAACCTTTGTTAATTAGGGTAACACTTTATGATTACAAGTACCCTAAAATATATTATGAAGCCCCTATGCATCATAAATCTAGTGCTATGTAGCCTTGTATAATTTACATATTATGTATAATCCTTACAAATAAATATTTCCAAGCAATTACTTGGTTGAAAAACAGTGAGAGATATGCTTATTTATACACTTATATGATGTAACCAACAATATTGGTATAGTTTCAAAATACGTATATAAAATTAAGATGTAGTATTATTTTGAAATTGATTTTGTTCTTGTAATAAAACCTTTACAACAAACAAAACATCTCTCATTAAATTATTGTACCGATTTGTGCGATTTATTTATTGTAGCATTTGTAATTTAAAGATACCATAAGTTTCATCTTGACACATCCTTCCATATTCTTCACTAAATGCAAACGATGCAAAGTCGGGGAGAGATATTTTTCCTAAACTAAACCATATGGTACAGTAAATTGAGTTAAGAATTCGAGCCACATGAAGTTGGTCAACTTTAGAAGTTATGTAAATATTGGAAGCATATTTGAAAGCGTAAAAGATGCCTCGATTTGTTTGCCACGACTAGTTAAATGTTGGCCTAAACTTGAATAGACATCTAACTTCAAAATGTTTGAGGCCTTGTTATTGTTCAAGTTCATTTTAGAGTTGGGTCGAGTGAATTCTATTGAAGGAGATCATAATTTAATATAGTCGTCGTGGCTTGTTGTTAAAGACACACTCGTAAGTTATTACTGCGAAAACTCTGCCTCCATAAACGCTTGAGACGTGTAGTTCGAACCTCAGCTATACACTTTTGCTCAACAAAAATTTTCTTGTTCAGTGACAGGAAGCATTGAGGGATTGCACCCCAAAAATCGACATCATGTTTCAGGTACAAGAAACTGATCCTTTTTAAACAAATATCAAGAAAACGGATGCAGAAATTTGTCTGCCTCCCTTAGTGGTATTACAAAACTTCCTAAATAGATGCTTCATTTACACTATTCTAGTTGCCCCGGCTATATTTTTTAGGTCAAATGTGTTAACCAACCTTTCAGGGTGAGAAAATTACAAGAAAGTTTGCGTAACTGACAAACTACAACTAAAAACTTTGGTATTTCTGAAATTTTGCACAAACATTTAATAATTTTTTTTCCTATTATTATTTTAAATTCTTATGGATATATTCAATATAGTCTCTTATGGAAGAGTTCTGAGAACCAACAACTCATGCATGTCCTACTCCTACTCTGTATGACAATCCTTCCATACTTGGATAGTAGAAACACAACACCCGCAGAGTTGCCTAAGTTCACTTATCTATCGTTGAATTACGCTGCAATCACTTAGATTTTTGAAGAAAATATAAACCGCAGAGAAAAATGCAAACTCGAGAGCAAGTAATAATCTTTAAACAATGCTGGAAAACCAAGAATTTTAGGTTTGTATTTTGAAAGCTTGGTCGAAGTGAGTGGATTCTTTAACAACATTGTTTCTAAATTAAAACAATCTCATAATTGCACATTCTCTAACTTCTTTGATGCAGAGAAGCGGGAGCGGGGGGAGGAAGGGAAGAGAAAAGAAGGGGGTGAGTTGGCTTGGGATAAGTTCTGAGGCGAAGTTAAGCCGATTAAGTGTCATTTCCGCCGCGGAACTAGTACTGTTCATTAAATATTTCGAGCAACTTAATTGCTAAGGTCGTCGCTTGTACAGTTTTAAAAGTGTAGGAATTCGATTTTAAGATCATAATTTTAAAAGAGATTTTAATTAAATTTCAACATGTATCTTAAGTTATTATGCTTATTATTATATCGTTTTTGAATATATATTGAAGGGCGTAGTTAATAAATAAATATTAAAGACTGTTTTTATGACATCAATGAGAAAAAACTTTACGATATATTTAGTATAATTAAAAGATTATCTCTTTCTCTGGGTCGGTAACTCATGTCTGAGTATCGTAGTCAGATGTATAGTGAGATCTGCGATTAATTTTGCTGGAGCCAGGTTTTCTGTATTTATATGAATAAAAACTACATATACGTAGACATAAAACCTTTTTACAATGGTGTAGAGAATTTCAAAGAGCAATACTAATTAACTAAGAGTCAATACAGTTAAATTTGCTATGTAAGTAATGAACAAGACTCCGCCGACTGAAGGCAGAAAATCCATTACAGACATCTTGAAAGCACGTGTTGAAAGTATTCTCACGTGTAAACGAATTACCTGCGCTAGATAAATAAAAGAATCGTGGATAAACCGACTACCAATTAAACTAAGCGCGAGTTGTACTTGTTCTTTTACTCGTACAAATGACAAGTGGTTTATAGAATAGCCCCCCTTTTATATAAAAATTAATTTGACATGTGTAAACGTCATAAGTCTCTTTCTAGTTAATAGTTTTTACGCTTTGTTAAAGAGAGAAACTTTCAGTTTATTTGAATTAGTTTTTATGAATAGAGTAGTATATTATATTTATGAATAAATTAGGTTTAGAGAAACTGTAAAAGATTATTTAAAGTACGTCAGGCAATCTTTAACTTTGAGCTTGAGAATAGCCGAATAAAAAATCCCAGAAAAGACAGTTTTCAGAACTTTCTGTGAACTTTGTTGACGTCAAAAAGACCAGAAACTTTAGGATTGCTATTTTACGAAACTGATAATACTTTTTCATATCCTGATATTACGAATCTTCCTTCATTGGGAAATAAAAATGTTCATCACGTGTTTAACATCGTACTTTTTCAATATAAGCTAGACCTAATGGCCGCCAGATGGCGAGTTGGGCAAAGTGCTATCAAAAAGCGGTTGTGTCGGTTATCGGAGCACTTTGCGCCTTCGCCCTGACGAGGGTCACCTTACGTATACCCTCAAGATTTCCATTTCCCTTTATACACTTACGCACGTTAATTTGCTAACGTGCAATTATATTACCATAGTAATAAAAGGAGTTATCAATTTATCAATAAACTTTTTTTAAATTTGACGATTATTTGAATGATCCTAATCGTTGGGATTGATTTGCTCCAGTTCAAAGTGTTTATTATATTAGGCTGCTTTGCCTTAGAAACAATTTGTATGATTCAAAACCTGGCGATTAAAAAAAGTGGCAGAGAGTTTCTTGCCAATTCTTCTTGCCCGCTCTACGCCCTTTACTTGCGAACTGGTAGTAAATGTAAATTTGGAATAAATTTAACATCTTTTCTGTTGACGATCATAAGTGTAATCGGTTACCAATGTGAATAAAGTTATTTTGAGTTTATTGAAATACCAATAATCTT